TTTATGAAGTCTTAAATTACTGAAGTTTGAAATTGTGGTAATAGCTCCAAAGTTTAACATCTTTTGTTTCTCGGTCAGAACTATTCAAACCCTTTAAATTTTCAGTTAAAAAAAAAAAAGCAGCAGGAAAGAAAAGGAAAGGAAAAAAAATAAGTTATTCTTTTTTGGCAGAATTAAAGTTTAGAAACATTGAAATTGACTTTTTTGTATGGCCTACATACCATAAAATTTGAAAGCATATTTTCAGAAAAGTGCCTTTTCTACACTTTTCAGGGCCATAAAACAAAACAAACCCCCCCAAAGGCTATTTAGAATGCCCAAATTATTTTATAGTGAAGACAGTCTTTGAATGTGATTTGGCCAGATCCCTCGCTTTCGGTAATTCTATAATTATTCCCAGAATGACTGTAGTTCTTGGTCTGTCTGCTGTTGCGGCTGTCTGAGGAGAGAAGGTGCAGTACTGTAGATAAGTATGTGGGTCTTGGAGCACAGCTGCTTGGGTAGAATCCAGGTTTTTCCACCTACTAGTGGTATGACTTTAGGGAAGGGTGGCTTAGCTTCCTCATCTGCAAAATGGTATGATCATACTATCTTGTCATTGTTGGAAGGATTAAATGAGATGACCCATGTAAACTGCTTAGTCTAGCACCAGACACAAAGTAGTCACTCAAATATTATCAATTACAAGTAGCAATAATGAAGTAGAGATATTAAGTAATTAGCCCCAAAACACATAGTCAGTGAAGGAGTTCTCTAATTGGCACTAGTAGGTGATGTGTAAGTCAGCAGGTCTATAACTGAACCTTTTCATTGTAGTCAGGGAAGAGGTGTAAGACAGAGATTCATTCATTCATTCACAGATGCTGGTGCTACAGATGTGAGCACAAAAGGTAAGGTATCTGCTCTGTTGGAGCAGACTGTCTCACCATAGGGGATAGATCGTAAATGTATAAACACGAGAGAAAGTACGTAACAAATGATAGGCACTCTGGTGAAGATAAAACAGGGCTCTCTGGTGTTGAGAGCGGTAGGGTTAGTTTGGATGGGTCAGAGATGTCTCTGTGGAGGAAATGAGTTAGGCTAGGATCACAGAATCATATTTTAAGGTCAAGAGATGGTAAATTGATTATTTGTTATAATCTCACTAACGTTTTTGCTAATTTCCAACTAAGAACATACAGTGATCTGTAGTTAGCATGTAACCGTGTACTGTTGACAAGCTTGACAGCATATGGCAGAGGAGGAAAAATATGAAAAGTTCCAGTTCACAAAACTTTCTGTTATTCATCTTTGGAGATCTGGGGTGATTGTGTTAGGAATTGTTTTGTAGGAGAATTGGGGAAAGTCCTGATTTTCTTAGTTGTCAGCATATACAGTTTTTATGATTACATGAAGTTTTAAGTAGAAAACCATTTTATTTTCATTACCACTGAGAAACTGTAAACTGTGCTGTGCTCATATGAGTAGTAGTAATGAAGATAAGTGCATCCTTAAGGCTTTTCTTTAACACAGATTTTGATTTTACAGAGCTTCAGTTATCAAAGGAAGGTAGCGTATGTTAAACAGAATGTGTGTTCCTATGTCAGAAGTGGTAACTAGCATTTAAAAGTCTATTTACTTATGTATTACAAAAACGTGGAACATAGAAAACACTGGAAAGAATTTCTTTTAAATGACCTACAGTTCCACAATTCTTAATTAACTATTTACACTTTGAGATTTTTTCCTTCTCTCCCTATATATCTTTTAAAAATAGTCAAGAAACACAATTTGTGCCTCAATATATGTGTATATATATATATATGTATACATACTATATAATTATTTGTAATTAAGGTAATGGCATATGCTTTTTCTCATATTATTACATATATAACTTCATGATAAACATGATTTTTCAATGGCTGCATAATATTCCATATTATGGAATCTTTTCCACCAATTCCCTATATGAACTTATTTTTTTGGTTCTCATTGTGTTTCTCCCAAAAGTAGAATTTGAGAATGAGAGGTAGGGAACTGCTTGGTGGGAGTTTTGGTTAATCATGGTTTTTCTGTGTCTTCTCAACTTTGTAAGGCTAAACTATTTCTTAGTCTCTGGGCAGTTTTTGTATGTCTCAGAATATGTCAAAGATTTTTTAAGTAAAAATCATGAAGTTTTAGGTTATCATGTATGTGGATAAAATGAGAGTTCCAGGATTCTCACTTGGCCCTGGTTGACTGGCTCACTGCACACCTGTAGGCAATACATGGCTGTTGATTCTATATAAAGAGCTCCACCCACTGCTCTGCATGACTTGGTGGCAGGGCTGCAAGGCTGCAGGAGAGCAGAGCAGAGGCTGGAGTGGTGGTAGCGCCGAGGACAGAGGCCCAAAGGATGGCTGTGCGAACAGAGGGGCTCAGAGGCAAGGGGAGAGACCAGCTTGCTGCATGCAGACTTGCTCTGAGTGAACAGGATTCTAGTGACTGACCTTCCACCTGGAAATAAAGTTGGGTATATCACTTTCACCCCAAGAACATTTTGCTGTCAATTTCTTTGGACACATTGAATCCATAGCGATCTTGCCCGGGGCTGAAACCCATTGGCAAGACAATGTAATTACAAATTCAACCAAATTTATAAACCAAAACTAAAATGCTTATACCCCTTCGAAAGGAAATTAGGAAAATTTTTTTTTTTAATTTTTTGGTTGTAGTCCAACATCTTTCTGACATATTAATCTTGGCATTCTTTGCTGATGAGTTCATCAGGGATAATATAATTTTTACAAAATGTGTTTCTCTTAGCTTCCTAGAGCATATAGCAAAATAAAGAACATAAATTATTTTTCATTAGTGAAAGGATGCATAATAATTGCACCATTAAAATTTCTCCAGTGGTTCTTAGATTGCTTGACTTGAATTTCTGTATACTTTAAAAAAAAAGCTGAATTTTCTCCTTGGATATTTATATTGAATTTCACTAGATTAGTGTCTTCCATTCAAGTCTCATATGCTGCTGGTAGGATTAGAAATATGATCTGTTTCAAGGACAGTTTAACAATATCAAGAACCTTCAAATAAATTTATATATTTTAGTTCCTCAGTTTGAAATCTGTGGATTAATCCTAAGGAAATAATTTGGCCAAGTATCTACAAGTTAATGCACAAGAATGTAGCATTGTTTATAAAAGCAAAATATTGGCAACAACCTAAATGTCCAACATTTAGGGATTAGTTAAATAAAGTGTGGTATATTCATATACTGGAATATTATAAGGCTATAAAAATTTTCATATATATCTATTTTTAATTTGGGAAAATTATCATGGTACAGTATAGATATATTGGCTTATTGTATAGAGTTATCTGATATTGGCAGTTAAATGTTGGTTCCTGTCTGCCCAGAGTTTGACATTATTAAAATTGTGTCTCCCTTCTTTGTAATTGAAAGGCATTAGAACCATTTCTCTTGACACTACTCCCAGTTAAAGCATATAAAATGATATTTTACTTTCCATTTCCTATGATTAGAAAGCATGTATCTAATTCACTTAAAGTATCATTATGCCATGAAAACATAAATTAAAAAGAAGACCATCTCAGATAGATTTCTATTTTGTACTACTTCAAATTGGTATCTATTCTGCTTTTCCTGATTCCAGATGTGGTATTGGATTGCAGAATTTATAAAAACCTTAAAAGCTGCGGATTTCAATTAAGCTTTTGTTGTTACAGCCACTGCATTCTCGCCAGTGAACTACTGTTCAGCACCTAGACCTACTGGATCTCCTGTTCTCCACTGAATAAATTGCAGTCTCATTCCTTGTGGAGGACTCCATGGTTATTCCCCTCCACAAGGTAGATTTCCTGGCCTTCAGCGCTAGTCTTCTTTGGTTAGACCCTTCATGGCTGTGTCCAGACCACGTGTCTTCCCACCAAGCAGGGATGGATGGACATCCTTAGACTCTCCTGCCAGTCTCTCCTTGGCCAGAATCCCCATTTTGGAGGTCCAGGAGATCTCATGCTGAGATTAGTGTCTTCCTGTCTGCCTGGTACCCCAGTTTGCAGTCTCTTTTAAGACAAGTGTCCCAAGGACTTGCCCCCACTTAGCAGGTATATTTGCATGTTCTTGGCTGTCTGACCGAATTCCAGCTCCTAGTCTTGTCCGTGGAAGCCTGCTCTTCCACCTCTGCTGTGCTGAGGTGAGTCTAGGGAAGAAGACTGACTTGAAGTGATTGAGTTGGGAAATCCAGTAACCAAATTCACATTGGTACAGTTTTAGACCAGGAGAAAAAGGAAGAATGAGCAATAAGTTAAGGAAGGAGTATTGAGCCCAGAGGCCCCAGCTCGGCACCACATGCTTAACAAGCACATGTGGTCATTGTAGCTTAAAACCAAAAGGTGGCTGGAAAAGGATCAGCGGCGGAATCAGCAGTGGTGAAAAACTGATCTCTTAGGGAAGCCATATGGTCTTGTGAAGAGTAACTCAACACCCATTATCCTGACAAGAATGTGCCTGGCATTACCTAGCTGGCCTGGCTTAATGAAAAGAGGCCATAAATAAGAAATGAGCTGGAACCCACAGGCGAAAGTGTGAGTATGCTGTGCTGTAAATGCAGTGCAAAATGGGTGTTGCAGGACTCAGAATATTTAACCTTTTGCTGCTTCCATGATTATTCGTTCATTCACTCATTCATTCATTCATTCAGCCAGCCAGCCAGCCATTGAGCAAATACCTGTCCTGAAACAGCCAGGACATATGGGTCCTTTGACTATAATGATGAACAAATAGACATAGGCCCTGCCTCACCGAGTGAACACTTAGACTGGGAAACAGTTACTGTGAGATAGATGCTGTGATAGGAGGTCACATTTATGTGGAGGAAGGGACATTTATGCTGAGATCTGAAGAATTAACAGATGTTGGCCAGAACGAGGGACTTAGCAGTGGCAATTAGTGGCTTAGTGATTGATTTTGCAAAGAATGATATATATTTCTTCTTTAAATTTCTTTCTAGGATGTTCAGTTCTTCTCCACAATGAATGAGTGTCACTATGATAAGCGGATGGACTTTTTTTATAATAGGAGCAACACTGACACTGCCGATGAGTGGACAGGAACGAAGCTTGTAATTGTTTTCTGTGTTGGAACGTTTTTCTGCCTGTTTATTTTCTTTTCCAATTCTCTGGTCATTGCAGCAGTGATCAAAAACAGAAAGTTTCATTTCCCCTTCTACTACCTGTTGGCTAACCTAGCTGCTGCAGATTTCTTTGCTGGAATTGCCTACGTGTACCTGATGTTTAACACTGGCCCAGTTTCAAAAACTTTGACTGTCAATCGCTGGTTTCTCCGCCAGGGGCTTCTGGACACCAGCTTGACTGCCTCCCTGACCAATCTGCTGGTTATTGCTGTGGAGAGGCACATATCAATCATGAAGATGCGGGTCCACAGCAACCTGACCATAAAGAGGGTGACGCTGCTCATTTTATTCGTCTGGGCCATTGCCATCTTTATGGGGGCGGTCCCCACCCTGGGCTGGAACTGCCTCTGTGACATCTCTGCCTGCTCGTCCCTGGCCCCCATTTACAGCAGGAGTTACCTCGTTTTCTGGACTGTGTCCAACCTCGTGGCCTTCCTCATCATGGTTGTGGTGTACCTGCGGATCTACATGTACGTCAAGAGGAAAACCAACATCTTGTCTCCACATACAAGTGGGTCCATCAGCCGCCGGAAGACACCCATGAAGCTCATGAAGACAGTGATGACTGTCTTAGGTAAGCAGAGCCCACTGAGCCATTATTTCTGTTCAGCGAATATTTACTGAACACCTACTATATACAAGGCACTTATCAGGTAGTATGAATGCAGCAGTGAACAAGAACAGATGTAATTTCCCACCTTCTTGGAGCTTATACGCCTATGGGAGAAAACAAAGTAAGTATTCCAGGAGTAAAAAAAATAATTTTATAAGTTTTACTATAATATTTATAAAATAAAATGTTGATGAGTCTTTCTGGGAAAATGGATAAGAGAGATAAGGAGTGGTGATATGATAAGCAGGTATCGTTTGCAGTTTTAAAAAATGTGCGGGACAGCTTCACCTATAGGGTAACTTTTGAGCAGAGGTGAAGGTGGTGAGGGAGCAAATCATGTGGGTGTCTGGGAAAGGTCATTCCAGGCAAAGATGCAGTAAACACAGGAGCCCCGAAGAGCAATGAGGCCAGTGTGGCTAGAGTGAGGTGAGCAAGGGGAGAGTTAGAGGTGATGAGGTCAGAGCACTGATGGGGTGGCCTAACCCAGGTTCTGGAGGGTGGCATAGTTACCATGAGGACTTCGGCTTCTCTGAGTGACATGAGAGGTCATGGAAAGATTTTGAACAGGGGAGCTACATGACCTGGCTTACATTTTAATGGCATGTCTCTGGCTGCTGTTTTGAGAAAATGTTATGGTGGGGAAAGGGCTAGAGCAAGGAAATTGCTTGAGAGGATATTTCAGTCCTCAGAGAGAGGGCTGAGGAGGCGAGGGCCCTCTTGGAGGTCATAAGGTGCAGTCGGATTTTTTAAAGATAGCAGTGATAGGGTTTGCTGACTGGTAAGGGGTGAGGGAAGGTGAGAGGAGCAGGGAGGGCGGGGTGTGTCATTCACAAAGGGGGAAAGATTGAAGAGGAGGGGTTTCGTGGAATGGTTGGGAGTTGGTTTTTGACAAACTAAGTTTAGGATACTATTAGACATCCGAGTGAGCTGTTGAATCATGGGTTCAAGATTTAGATCTGGGCTAGAGATCTGTATTTGAGAGTCAGTGGGGAAGAAAAGGTATTTTATGCTACAAGACTGGATGGAGTCCCCGTGGAGGTAAACGTGGGGGGTGTGTGTGGAGAGCATCATTCCCGAGGAATGTGCCTGAGAAACATCAGTGTGAGGAGGGTGGGGAGGCAAGGAGCCACCAGTCAAAGCCCTGGGAGGAATAACCTGAAAGCGCAGGGGAATATGGTGCCTAGAAGCCATGAGAAGGAAGCCAGCAAGGAAAGGGACCATCAGCAGTGGTACTGCCCCTGAGAGGTGCGGTGAGATGAGGTCTTACTGGGTTTAGCAAAGTGGTAGTGTTTTGGTGACCTTTAGAAGATGAAATTTTGTGTAGCCAGGAATCTGATCAAAGTCAAAAGAAAGGGAAGAGAGACTTTAGGACAGTGAGCTTGAACAGCTCTGAGGAGTTTTGCTTTGTACCATGAGCCCTGGATCAAGAAGACACATTTCGTGTGAACAATTTTCCTTTTGTTTTATCTTCTCAATGGCAGGTGGCCTGTTGTCCCCTGATTCCAGCCCTGAGTTACAGGTAGAATTTGTAGCGTGTGGGTTAACAAGAATGTTCGTGGTTTTGCAGACCTTGTGTTCTACATCAGAAGGGCCATCTCTTACCATGCATGTAGCTCCAGCAGTGGGGACCATTACTGAAAGTTGTCCAGGAGTATTCGTGTCAAGTCCCACTGTAAAAGGTTATAAAATGAGCTCTTGGGAAACAATTCATATCAGAGGATGCAGGGTGTATGTGGTGTGGCCTGGGAACTATTAAGTGTCTCTAAGTCCTGAAACTGCTTGTAAAATTTGGAGGTGAGCAGACACATACCATGATAAAATATTTTCAAACTGAGGATTATCTTAATTAAATATTTATTTAGTATTTAATAGGCATCAAGCATTGTCCTCAGTGTTTTACAGATATTAACATTTAATTTTATTTAGTCCTCAGGGCAACCTTGTGAAATAGGTGCTCCTGTTATCCCCAGGTCCCAGATGAAGACACTGAGCAGAGAGCATAGGCACTAGGCCCAAGTCCACGCAGCTGGTAACGGCGTAAGGCAGTTGGCCTGGGAGGCCTCATGGTTGACACCACATGGTGCAGCTAGTTTTGGTCTGTTTGTACTTTTTACTGGCCTCCTCTTTTTTCTATCTTCTGCTTTGACCATCTCATTCTTCTTTTGGTACCTTGACAAGAACATAGACAAGAATAAGAAAAGGAGGGGCCAGATTAATCAGTTTTTCTGCTCTTGGGATAGAGAGGATATTAATGTTTGAGGGAAGGAGTAGAGTTTGGTATTTATTGATAGTGTCAATGAACTCTGCTCCTTTCCCTGTATAACTTGCAAGCATAATCATTTGCTTGGTTATGTGTCTTAAGAAATTACCTGCTTGATTAAAAAGAAAACTTTCTTTTTTCAGCATTTGGTCTATCATATGCAGAAGAGATAGAAGAGGCATCTGTGATTTTAGGCAGGGAGAACAGGACTCTGTGAGAGAGCCATGGTTACTAGCTTTGGTTTTAGCAGGTGTGGTATTGAATAAGGGAAAAAAACTAGAATAAACAGCACAATTGTCAAGCAAGATGAGAGAAGCTGTGGCATTGAGATGGAGCAACATGAGGGATTTGATTAATGGCAGGGAGACAGTTTGGTGTTAGGGACCTGGGGAAGTTCTTCAGTGGCGAGCCAGAGCAATCTGGGGGAAGACGAAAAGTTGCAGACAAGGGAAATGAAACTGAAGAGCTAAATGGTATGAGGGATTTTAGACTTCTAACTTCAGATTTCTTTGGATAACAGAAGATTTGTGTTTTAGTCCAACAATGTTATTTCCTACAAGGCTGAAGCACATCAGATCACCTTTTCTTGGTTAAATGTCCTTATCTGAAGTAGAATAGATAATCTTCAAGTTCTTTCCAACTTATAAAATTCAGTGACCTTATTATAACAAGTAACCAAAGCCACCCAGAGGTCCATGAATTGGCTGTATTCCAAAGCTCCATGAGAGCATTTACCATAGTGTCTCCTTAGGGTGGAAGCCCCTCAGTTGCCCTGATACATGTAAGAAGTCAGTTGCCTAAGACAAGTGTCTCCCAGTACATGGTATCTTAGAAAGATCAACAGCGCTGGCACCTACCATTATTGTTTTCACTGGTTCTGAGTATGTGAAGTTAATAGCTTAATACTTATTTCTATAATGATAATATGATTTAAATATCTTCATGATAAAATGCTAACCTTTGAATTTACTCCTTGATATATATGTTGTAGAAAAGGTCAATTTAAGATTAAGCTTTCTTATAAACATACCTTTTAATATTAGAAAATCAATAAATATATATTAACTGTTAAAAAGCATCAAAGAGTTAATGAGTTGCATGAATTCAGTGAGCTTAATCTCATTTCAGAGAAAGCAGAAGGGATAGACAGGAACAGTGGCATTTCAGAAAGGCTCTTTGGAGTGCTTAGAATGTGATCTGGAACAATGGGTGGGATTTGTATGGGAAGGAGGGAAAGATATTTTAAGTAGAAGAAACAGCTTAATTGAAGCGTGATGGTAGAAACACCTAAAGCGTTGTAGTACCACAAGGAAGGCCCTGTGGAGCACAGATACATGTTATGGCTCAGCTGTGAGCCAGGACAGTTTAGTTGGATGTCCTTTTTGGAAGGGAAGAGGTAGACCAGTTAACCTTTGTTTCTTTCCAGCTTTGGAATTTGGGTTGAACACAAGAATAAACAGAGCTGGATGGGGAACAGATTCTTTTCTTGTTGAGGGAGGTGGTGGTAGTGATGATGGTGGTGTGAATTTTAAGCCTATGACAGGAAAGGCATCTAGGCATTGTGTTCCCAATTCAGTAGCCCTGAGGCAGAATGCTTACTTCTGGGCTATGATGTGTGATAGGGCCCTGTACGTGAAAGAAGTTGCCTATTGAATGTTCATGGGTACATATGATCCTGCATTCCACTGGGCATCAAAACCCTGCCTAACAGAGAGTCTGTATTTTGAAATTCTACTTGTCAACAAGCCTAATCAGCTACAGCAACCAAACAAACATAAGAATTCCCACATAGAAAACCTTTCACTTACTGTCAAACTGAACATACCATATGAACTGTGCACACAGAGATGTTTTGTTTCCCAAGACATGGGCTGGATTTTCTCCTACTTTGCAATGTCTTGAAAGGCAAAAGAAAAGAAAGGTTGAAGGGATATATGAACCCTACTTTTGAATTCTTCCATGAACCTCCTTGTCTCTTAGTGTGGAGTTTTTCAAACTGCAGATTGTGACCTACTAGCAAGGAGTGAAATCAGTGAAGAGTTTGTAATCGAAACCTTATTTTAATGACATACAATAGATAAGAAGAGAAAATGTCAGAGTGTTTGCATGGAATAAGTGTAAGTATTTAATAACCTGCATGTGTGTGTACTGGATTGTAATATGAACTACATATCTTAACATGGGTTATAAGAACTACATATCTTGAGCATGGGTCATGCTCAAGAATGTGTGAAAAGCTGTGGTCTTAGGGTCACAGTTTCTTTTCTGGCCGAAAAAGACTGAAATCTTTTAAAACATGAGAAACATAATGAAGGGACTTTGAAACGGTTTGAGGTCACTGAAATAGAGTTGAATGTTTTTTTATTTCTCCCTCCCGCCTCTCCATTGATATCAAGCTAAATCCTCCCTGCTTTCTCTCAGGGGAGAGAGAAAGGAGGCAAAGCGGTGGTAAGGGAAGAAACAATGCCAGGAGTTCTCCTGCCAGGAGGAAACGGGTGAAAATTAAGTACCACAGTGAGCTTTGCTGGAGTGCTAATAATAATCATAATGATGTTTCTGTGCACTATGTCTTTTTCATTGTTTTAATAAATTGTTCTCATTTCATCTCATGGAACTCCTGCAAGCTAAGTGAGGAAGATATTATCCTATTTTTCTACCACTCCCCTAGATGTACTCTCTCCTCAGCTATAATTAATTATTA